GTGTGGGAGGCCGAAGCCGACGCAGAACCTGAGAGAGCAGACTCACCAGCACCTGAGGGAGCAGACGCACCTAGAGCAGCAGCCTCGCTAGCACCTAGAGCAGCAGCCTCACCAGTACCTAGAGCAGCAGTCTCAATGCCCGGGTCGGGCGGAAAACACCGGTAACAGTCACCCTCATCACTAATAGTCACAGTATACATGGCAGCAAGAATAGCATCAAAGTCAAGGTCAAAGACAGCCACACCCGCCCTAGACAGCTCACCCCAGCGGGGGATCTCAGTGGCCTCAGGGAACTGGTGACGCCAAGCGTCCGTCAGGCGGCCAAAGCAGCGCTGGGTGGAGTGCGCACCCCCGCACTGCTCACCCGCGCGGTCGCCGGTGCGGAGGACGTAGGCGCACGGACCAGTACCCCCACCCCTCTGGCGTGCAGTGTACCACTCACGGAGCTGCTGAGGGGAGGGGATGTCACGAGTGCGCTGCTGCTGCTGCTGCTGGCGCTGACCACCACCGGAGCCGACCCTCTGCGCAGCGCCACCCCGACCAGCTCCACCTCCTCCGCCGCCTCCTCCTCCACCGCCGCCACCTCCGCTCCCTCCGCCACTGCCGCTGCCGCCTCCGCCTCCACTGCCGCCACCGACACCTCCACCCCCGCCACCACCCCCACCGCCACCCCCACCTCCTCCACCGCCTCCACTGCCGCCTCCACCGCCCCCGCTAGCTCCTCCAGCGCCCCTGCCCCCCTTGCCCTTGCCAGGGCGGCGTCTCCCGCTAGGGGTAGACGCCGCACCGACCGACTCAAGCCCAACGAGGTCGGCCGCAGCAGCAGAGGCAACAGAGGGCAAAAGGGGGGAGGGGGAACACCCCTCAAAGATGGGGGTGCGAGGGTCACCACGAGAGGCTCCTACAGCTACTATGCTCTTCTCTGCTGCTAGGAGGGACTTCTCGAGGAGGTCAACGGTGAGAGTGGTGGGGCAAACTGAGAGGAAGTGGTCCCTGACTACGCGAAGGGAGTCAGGGAGCCGGGTGACTATGTAGTAGAGGGTGATGTACATGGGGGGGGGGTTCTTGGCGCAGAACTCAGCAGGAAGCGCAGCGCGGTAGCGAGTGTCACTAGTGCGTAGGTGCGTAATGAGGTCAGCGACTGTGGGAAAGGCAGCAAGGTCAGGGAAGAGGTACGGTAGCATGAGGCGACTCAGTGCAGCAGTGGCAGGGGAGGAGTAGCGTGCAACTACAGCGTCGTACAAGGTCTGAGCACTCTTGTACTGGCTAAAGTGCGCACGCTCAGAGGTAGGCAGGTGGCGACGCACAGCAAGACGTGCAGCAGCATCGCGCGTGGCCCACTGGGAGCGAACAGTTGCGTCAGCATCAGTGGCGGGGGCAGGAGAGGCACCAGAAGTGAGGTCAAAGAGGGAGAGGCCGTCTGCCCTATCGCACTGTAAGAAAAGCTGCAGGTCATCTATCCAGACGTCAAAGTCAATGGCCCGACCCTCAGCGTCAAAAGCGAGGACACTAGGGGTAGCCATGACAGCAGTAGACTAGCAGCGCAAACAGTGGGGTGAGGGCAGTGCTGTGAGAGAGGCGCTGCTCTTACCGGACAGGGCGGCTCGGGCGGCTCGGCTGCAGGGCGGCTCGGCGACTCGGCTGCTGGGCGGCTCGGCTGCTGGGCGGCTCGGCGGCTCGGCTGCTGGGCGGCTCAGCGGCTTGGCTGCTGGGCGGCTCGGCGGCTCTGCTGCTGGGCGGCTCGGCTGCTCGGCGGCTCGGCGGCTCGGCTGCTGGGCGGCTCGGTGGCTCAGCTGCTGGGCGGCTTAGCGGGGCCGCTGAGAGGGCCGCGTCAGGGGCCGCTGGGAGGAGGCGGCGGGGCCGCTGAGAGGAGGCGGCGGGGCCGCTGAGAGGAGGCGGCGGGGCCGGAAAGGTAGGTGGCGGGGCCGCGTCAGGGGCCGCGGCAGGGGCCGCGTCAGGGGCCGCGGCAGGGCCGCGTCAGGGCGCCGCGTCAGGGGCCGCGTCAGGGCGCCGCCAGGGGCCGCGGCAGGGCCGCGTCAGGGCCGCGTAAGGGGCCGCGGCAGGGGCCGCGTCAGGGGCCGCGTCAGGGCCGCGGCAGAGCTGCGTCAGGGCCGCGTCAGGGGCCGCTTCAGGGCCGCGGCAGGGGCCGCAGCAGGCCGCGGCAGGGCCGCGTCAGGGCCGCGGCAGGGGCCGCGTCAGGGCGCCGCGTCAGGGGCCGCGTCAGGGCGCCGCCAGGGGCCGCGGCAGGGCCGCGTCAGGGCCGCGTCAGGGCCGCGGCAGAGCCGCGTCAGGGCCGCGTCAGGGGCCGCTTCAGGGCCGCGGCAGGGGCCGCGGCAGGCCGCGTCAGGGCCGCGTCAGGGGCCGCGGCAGGGCCGCGTCAGGGCCGCGGCAGGGGCCGCGTCAGGGCGCCGCCAGGGGCCGCGTCAGGGCGCCGCCAGGGGCCGCGTCAGGCCGCGTCAGGGCCGCGTCAGGCGCCGCCAGGGGCCGCGTCAGGGCGCCACCAGGGGGCGCGTCAGGGGCCGCGATAGGGCGCCGGCAGGGGCCTCGTCAGGGCGCCGCCAGGGGCCGCATAGGGGGCGCGTGGGAGGCGGCGTAGGGGCCGCGTAGGGGCAGCGTAGGGGCCGCTAAAAAAAAAAATTTAGGGCAGGGCGCAATGTGCGCGGGCAGCTAAAAAAAAAATTCTTATGGTGGGCCCTTAGGAAGGAACGGTCCCATGTAGGAACCCGCTCTATACCATGTGAATCAAGAAAACAGGAATGAAATGACTAAGTGAAAGTTGGGTACAAAAGGCAAACCCTAGGAAACTGTACCCCATATGTGCTACCCCATTATAGCCTACAGTAACTATGTCAAATAACTCTGACACTGCCACCGCACCCCACCTATGCACACCGCTCACACTCACCCAAAGCCGCTTATTCACTGCTTCACAATTTTCTCCTTGCAGGTGGAGGGGAGGGGCGTAGGGGACACCACCGCAACTGTTCCGCACGCACCCCTCCCCTTTTGGCCGTGCAGGTGGCAGTGGTGGGTGGGAGGAAACAGCACTTCACTCAAATGAGATCGGATGGGAGAGTATTGGGATTGGATCGCCTGAGAAAGTTGAGCCTCCTAGTGATGGATTCGTGTCCGCTGTTCCCTTGGACAGCTGCTGCTTGGACTTCTCCCCATGCTTAATCCTCACCTCTCCCCCACTTCGACTTCACTTGTCCCTGCAGCTCTCTCTCCATCTCTGCATTCTCGTTTCTGTCCACTCCAGTGTTCTTCCCTCTACTACCCCATCGCTTCACACCTTGTCCCATCCCTCCCATTCCCGCTTCCCATTTCACTCCATCCAAATCGCTGATCTGAGAGCCAAGCTCTGTGATGAGGTGAAGGCGAAAATTGCAAAGCTGAGAGTGAAGTGGGCCGTGCCTTTGCCTGCTGGGAGAAACATCAAGCCATCAAAGCAAAGCAGTTTCAGTGAGCACGAAGAGGAGAGCTTGGGGTTGTGATAGGAGCTTTCAAGGATAACCGCAGTGGTACCGGAGAGGGAAGGGGTGAAGGCGGACATTTCAAAGCCGAGAGTCAAATGAAACACGAAGCCGTCCTCTATCAAAGCGAAGCCGGTGAAGTGAAGTTAACAGAACAGCAAAGATAAGTGCCAAGCAAGAGACCACCGGAGCTGTCCTGCCTGCCTTACATGGCAGTTTCACTATTGCTTCCATTCTTTGCTTCAATTTAACGTTACCCATAATACGTGTAGGCTTTGATTGGTTAATCATATATTGAAGATTGATTGTGTTATCTACCAGTAGGTTGCTATGAGTTAATGGTTTTTGTTTGAGCAGAAGTGTGTACACCAGTACACCTATGAACTATAATATTTACTAAAACATTTTTTATTGAATTGATAGAATATACCGGAGACGAGAAAGTGTATAAAATCAACTACAGTCGTAACTGTGCTTGAGGGGGACAGCATAAGCCGAACCACCAGAGGGTACTTGACGGGGCCACGTGCCCTACGCTACTTGGACCAGATGGCTGCAAAGCCATTCGTCCACTTCCATTTCATCCCATCCACGGTCGTGATGTTTCCAAACAGTTGCTGTTCGTCCGCCAATAGTCTCGCCAACTTGCTCTTCCGAATGCCGCCCGCCCCTTTTCGCAGTTTCGTCCGTTGTTCTCTCAGGTAGATTCTCGCATGAAGGTAGAAAGCCCGCTCAATTCGTCCCAGAACTCGGCGTGCTCTAAATTTCCCTCCACGAAACACTGCTTCGCATCGCTCCACCCAGATCTGATGTAAACCAATTGCCGTCAGAGTTGCCTCCGGAAAAGCCGAGTCAGAGCCAGCACGCTTGAAGAGCATGTCCCCCAGCGAGGAGATGCGGCGAGCTGGGTCTATCATGCGCAGAGCCCGCAGGATCGAAGTGGTGACCACTTGGATGGCCAGGCAGGTGGAGAGACAATGCTTTAGGGTTTCCTCCTCGCTACAGTACGGGCAGACCGGCTTGCGGCGGAGGAAAGCCACCCTCTCTCCCACCTGAAGATTGAGGCCGTGGATCCTCAGCAGAACACTGCGTGGGCGGTTAGGAACCACCTGAGAGTCCCTGATGGCAATGACTTTCCTCCAGTCGATTTTTCTGCCCCATCTGCTCCCCCACTTCTCCTGCTTGTTAGAGGCCTGGCCCGACCCCCAAAACCTCCTCATCTGCTTCAGTGAGAAAATCCCATCGCTTGAGACGTACGGTAACTGTTGCTGCTGTGAGGCAGCCGAGCTAATGCCTCCAGCTGCCACCAATACTTTCTTCCAATCCTCCGGTGCAGCTTCAAGCGCCTTGAGCGCTAGTCTAGCCGGTGCTATCTCTCCCAACTCCATTTTTAGCTGCTCCGTTTCAATATTTGCTAAAACAACACAGCAGAAACACATTTCAAAATTTATAAGAGTGAGAAACCATTTCCATTCGACTAAAGAGGCACAAGTTCATATTGAACCTCTCTCCACCTTTTCTCATCCCTTAGTCTACCTCCTCAATCTTTGGCCCGTCACCTCCGCTCGAAGAACCACCCCCCATAGGCACATCCCCCATTCTTCCCGCTCCTGGCACTGGTCCAGCACCAGCTTGATACATTTTCGAAACGATCGGGTTACAAATGCCTTCCAGCTCCTTTTGCTTGTCCTCGAATTTGTCCATGTCGGCGAGCTGGTTCTTATCCAGCCAATCAATCGTCTCGTCACCAGCCTTCTCGATCGCCTTCTTATCTTCAGGCGACAGCTTCCCCGTGATCTTGTCGTCGCGAACGGTGTTATGCATGCCGTACGAATAATTCTCGAGCGCGTTCTTCGCCTCAACCCGCTTCTTGTGCTGCTCGTCATCCTCCTTGTACTTCTCTGCTTCCTCCACCATCCGCTCGATTTCCTCCTTGCTCAGTCGGCCCTTATCATTTGTGATAGTGATCTTGTTCTTCTGCCCGCTAGTCTTGTCCTCCGCGCTCACGTTCAGAATGCCGTTCGCATCAATGTCGAACGTGGCGCCACGTGGCGCCGGCGGAATTCCCGACAGCTCGAACTTTCCGAGTAGATTGTTGTCCTTGGTCCGGGCGCGCTCACCTTCGTATACTTGAATTAGCACTCCCGGCTGGTTATCCGAAAACGTCGAGAACACCTGCTCCTTCTTCGTCGGAATCGTGGAGTTCCTAGGAATCAGCACCATCGTTACCCCTCCATGTGTCTCCAACCCAAGCGACAGCGGCGTCACGTCGAGCAGCAGCAGGTCCTGCACCTTCTCGTTCCCCTCGCCGCTCAGAATCGCCGCCTGAACCGCCGCGCCATACGCGACGGCCTCGTCGGGGTTGATGCTCTTGCAAAGCTCCTTGCCGTTGAAATACTCTTGCAGCAGCTGCTGCACCTTGGGAATGCGCGTTGACCCACCCACGAGCACGACGTCGTGAATCTGCGCCTTGGACATCTTCGCGTCCTTGAGGCACTTCTCCACAGGATCCATGCACTTTCGAAACATGTCCATGTTGAGCTCCTCGAAGCGCGCGCGAGTTATGGTGCTGTAGAAATCGATTCCCTCGTAGAGCAAGTCGATCTCGATGGTGGTTTGCGCGGTGGATGAGAGGGTTCGCTTGGCGCGCTCGCAAGCCGTGCGAAGTCGGCGAAGAGACCGCGGGTTGTTACTCAGATCCTTCTTGTACTTTCGCTTGAGCTCCTGTACGAAGTGTTGCACTATGCGATTGTCAAAGTCTTCGCCACCCAGATGCGTGTCACCAGCTATCGCTTTCACCTCGAAAATGCCGTCCTCGATTGAAAGAAGTGACACATCAAAGGTTCCCCCACCGAGGTCGAAAATGAGCACGTTTTTCTCCGATGAGTTGCTGTTCTTCTTATCAAGACCGTACGCGATAGCAGCTGCAGTCAGCTCGTTGATTATTCGCATCACGTTCAGCCCAGTAATCGCACCCGCGTCTTTAGTCGCCTGGCACTGAGAATCATTGAAATAAGCTGGAACCGTCACCACCGCATTCTTCACGGTAGTCCCAAGGTAAGCCTCTGCGATCTCCTTCATTTTCGTCAGCACCATGGACGAAATCTCTTCCGCGGCAAACTGCTTCGTCTCGCCCTTGTACTCGACTTGTATCATTGGCTTCTCGCCCGCGCCTGCGATCACCTTGAACGGCCACAGCTTGATGTCGCTCTGCACGCGTCGGAGAACCGTCGTCCGATGAGACGCTTCGCATCTGTAAGGAAGACGAAGGAAGAGAATGATGTGAGAAACAGCAGAACCGACGAATGGGCAAGGGCAGGGACATCTAAGGTATGCAATAACCTAGTGCGGAAGTAGGGGTAGAGGAAGCGGATGTTGTAAATGGTGGATAATTCAGCATGGGGACGTACCAAACACGGGGTTGACGGGATTCATGGACACTTGGTTCTTTGCCGCGTCGCCAATCAGGTGCTCCGTGTCAGTGAATGCCACGTATGACGGGGTGGTGCGGTTGCCCTGGTCGTTGGCGATGATCTCAACGCGATCGTGCTGCCACACACCCACGCAGCTGTAGGCCGTGCCGAGGTCGATGCCAATCGCAGAGCCTTCTCCCTTTGCCATGACCGAGGTATGGGAAACGAGTTCTCAGGTACTGTGATGAGAAGATGAAGAGCGGAGATAATCTACTAAAGGTTGAGAACTTCAGAAAGTGTATGTTCTACTAAATGTTCAGTCTTGAGAGGCGCGAGAGCGTAATCGCTGAGAGAGGGAGCTGAGAACTTATTTGTTGTTTTGATTTGATGAAAACGTAACTGCTAGTCGACCCGTATATAGTACAGAGAAAAGGGGGAGGCGTTCGTGATGGAAAGACTAGCTTGCGGAAGCTGCCAGAAAGATGTGGAATGAAGGCGGTGTTCGCCAGCAACTTTGAAAGAGAATGGCATCTTGACGGCATCGGAATGGTGACCGCATCAGGAACCGGGGCGGAACTCGCCCAAGAGGTCTGGGCGTAATGCCACCCGTGAAACTTCGATTCCCAAAACAGGAAAATTCGCAACCGCATATGGAACCTCCAGCCCCACCTTCCAGAGGTTTCCCTCTGCTCTGCAATGCCACAGCCATGCCATTGCCATTCACCTTGGAAAGGTGAATGGTGATGGTATCGCAGGGGGATTGTTTTTGCCAGGGGAGGAAACTGCGACCCCGTTTCCATATGCGGTATTGCCTTTCGAAATGGGTGAAAATTGGGGGCGTTCGCCACGCCCTCACTTATCTAAGAGGTTCGGACGGCATGAGAGGCTCGGCAGCAATTTTACGGTCTGACCAGGCCGACGGAGCTTAACAAACCCTAACTGACGGGATCAGGAAGGCGAGACTGACCTTCCTGATCCCGTCGTTATCACGTCGTTTTTGCTTACAAATGTGCTGGTGAACACCGCCGAAACGGTGGGCTTTCATTTCCATTCCAGCCTAGAAGCTGCTGGAATCAGAGGGACTGACCTCGCGATTTCTACATTTCCAGGCGCGGCACAGGATTGTCACACTGGGCGTCTCGAGAACTTTCAGCTGCAAACGTGGCAATCATCTGGTTACCGATTCCAGATCGACGGCGCTTGTTGGCTCGCTGAGATCGGAATCTATGTTCAAGAAACTTTGCGACTGCGACAGGCGAGTTTCAGAGTACACGGGGGTGAAACTGACGGTCGACGGGTTACCTTGGGAAACCGGGCTGATTCGAACCTTCGCAACAAAAGGGTGAAGGGTACCTTGCGACCTTGCGAGCACGTCCAGCACCTGCAGCCTGGTGCTCACTTTGCTAGCGAGGGTAGCGATTGGGCAACGAAGTCAAGGTCGTCAACGTAAGCGTTTAGGTAACAGTTCGTAATATACAGCTGGCAAACAATATATGTGCAATTACAATATAATATCAACGGCAATCAATTTGGAGAAGCGTACATCACGTTCACTCTTTTCATTTGTCATCCCTCAGACTTCATTTCCGATTCTCACACACATTTGAGGAGCTTCGATTCAGCCATTGGACCTGCCTCACAATCGGTCAACCAAATTGCACGTACACACACAAAAACACAATGCAATTGCTACAATAAAACTAAATCTGGAGACTACTTTCAGAATTGGGGATTCCCATGACCCACAGATTCTTGCTACACTAGGGTTTTGGCAAAGCCTCCACTGTTCCCTTCCAAGCCCTCACAGGAAGCGCTTTCTACTCAAAGTATCACGTGATCCGCGAGGTAGCAGGGCTGTGTTATCGACGCTCGATAGACGTGATGGAGTCATGATTGTCAACAGCTGCACCAACGTCCCGAGCAGCTAACGCCATGCAGCTGCTCCTTGGTGCGCTGCACTCCCCCGAGCGACCTCTGCAGCTGCCCGCTCGCCCTTTCCCAGGAGCTACTCACGCAGAGGCTCCCTTCCCAAGCAGCCTCAGCCCCCTTCTCTTCCCACTCGAGGGGCTTCATTCCCTTTTCGTCTTACTCACACACCCTAGCGGTTTCAAGCTCCTTCCCTCCCACTCACGAACGCATAGGGTTTCAGCCCCTTTCCCATCCACTCACCCACCGAACGGGTTTCAGCCCTCTCGGGTAAGAAGAGGGAGGGGCAAGAGGAGAGATTCAAGCTCCGTAGGTAGGGCAAAGGGCAAGAGAGGGTGGGAAAGTTAGAAATCCCAAGGCAGGGCGATTGAGAGACAGAGGGGGGCTGAATTGACTGACTGAAGTCAGAGCGAGCCAGAGGCAGAAGAGGGGGGTTTCTGTTAAAATATATTTCTTATATAAACTGCTTGTAGCAGTAGTTAGTGTAGTGTTACATTGTTTGGTGGTGCACCTTGCTTGCTTTGCCTATATCATTGTACCTTCTCTCTTTATTGAACACCTTTTCTCCTTTGGAACTCTCTCGACATCCCCCTTCAACCCTAAACCTAAGCTCCTAAGCTACTCTAGCCATGGCTACTAAGCCTAACTACCTTTAGCTTATTATGATATGGTTTCAGAGCGTTTCGTTCCTCAGGACCTACCCTTAACGCTTCCGCTGCCTATCGGTGGCGTGGCGGTTTTCTGCCCGCCGTGCGCTCGGGGCGCGCGGCGGTTTTCTGCCCGCCGTGCGCCCCGGGCGCGTGGCGTTTTCCTACCCCGGACGCGCGGCGTCTTCCTGCCCCGCGCGCGGCCTGCCCTCCCGCCGCCTGCGCGCCTGCCCCACGTTCGCGTGCGGGCCTGTTCTGCCCGCCCGCGCCCTGCCCGTCGCCGCCGCGCGCGGGCATTCTGCTCGTCGCGGCACCCTCTGGACGCCGCCCCTGCCTCACTCGCGCCTGCCCTCGCGCAGCCGCACCCGCGCCTGCCCTCGTGCAGCCGCCCCTGCCTCACCCGCGCCTGCCCTCGTGCAGCCGCCCCTGCCTCACCCGCGTCCTGCCCTCGTGCAGCCGCCCCTGCCTCAACCGCGTCCTGCCCTCGTGCAGCCGCCCCTGCCTCACCCGCGCCTGGCCTCGTGCAGCCGCCCCTGCCTCACTCGCGCCTGCCCTCGTGCAGCCGCCCCTGCCTCACCCGCGTCTGCCCTCGTGCAGCCGCCCCTGCCTCACCCGCGCTTGCCCTCGTGCAGCCGCCCCTGCCTCACCCGCGCCTGCCCTCATGCAGCCGCCCCTGCCTCACCCGCGCCTGCCCTCGTGCAGCTGCCCCTGCCTCACCCGCGCCTGCCCTCGTGCAGCCGTGGGGGGGAGGGTATGGGGGTGGCGGGTGTGGGGGTGATGAGTGTGGGTGCTACCCTTCCCCTCCTCCTCCTCCTTCGTCTCCCACTGCTGCAGCTGCCGCTGAAGGAGGGTGGATGTGTGGGAGCCGAGGGGAGTGGAGCTAAAGGGGTGTCGTGGGAGTGGAGACAGGGGTGCAGCAAGGGGGTGTGTGAGAAGGGGGTGTGGGACTGTTAGGGGAGGTTGAGCGGAGGTCGCCATTGTGTCGTCAGCAGCGCCAGTAGTCCGGAGCCCTCGTGCTCTCGGTAGCCCAGCGAGCCTGCTTCGCCAGTCGCATGTGGGTCCGTTGCTCCTGCCGCTCGTCGTAGTCGCGGAGCCAGATACTCCCGTAGTCCGGTGCCCTCGTGCGCTCGGTAGCCACTGTGCGCGCTGCTCCTGTTGCCCGTGTGACTGCGGCTTCACCTGTCGCCTCCTATCTCTACTCCTCTCACAGTCCCTCCTCCTCCTCACTTGCCCTCTCCTTCTGCTGCGCTTGGTGTACCCCTTCAGGGGGTGTCTCTGCATTAGCTTCCTGCTGCAAGCAGTTTAGGGGGTGTGTTGAAATATATTTCTTATATAAACTGCTTGTAGCAGTAGTTAGTGTAGTGTTACATTGTTTGGTGGTGCACCTTGCTTGCTTTGCCTATATCCTTGTACCTTCTCTCTTTATTGAACACCTTTTCTCCTTTGGAACTCTCTCGACATCCCCCTTTAACCCTAAACCTAAGCTCCTAAGCTACTCTAGCCATGGCTACTAAGCCTAACTACCTTTAGCTTATTTTGATAGTTTCCCTGCCCCTTGCTCGCACTGACCTCGGAGTCTCAATACCATGTCGCTGGATGTGCGGAAGTCGGAGCACGGGCCGGCGTCGGAACGGACGCCCACCACCCCGCCAACGGACACCTCAATGGCGACCCTCCCTCTACTCGCCGAGGTCGGTGAGCCTCCTGCTGAGGACGTCAAGGATGACCCCTCTCCCTTCCCCTCCCCTTCCCCTCCTGCCCCTCCCCTTGTGGCCGACCTATGTGGGCTGACTTCGGTGTCGGCCTTCGGCAATAAGAGGAGCAGTGGGACGTCGCCTGTGGCACCGGCAAAGAGCATCGCCGGTGGCCAACGTGACGTCGAGCAAGTCGACGTACGAGTAAAGTCGACACCGGCAGGAGAGGAACTGCCGACGGTGGTGAAGTCGGTGAAGGGGGCAGCAGCACGGCAATAGCTGACAGGGGAGCAGGCAGCAGCGAAGCCGACCAAGGAGCAATCAGCGACCGGGCAGTCGGCAGGGGAGCCGACCGCAGGGGAGAAGTCGGGGGGGTGAGCCGACCAAGGTGCAGCAGGCCGACGATGGAAGCGAAGGCGGTGACAGTAGAGGGGACGCCGAGGAGTCCACCGATAGCGACGCGGTGGAGGTCCGGCCTGGACCACGGCAGTCAGGCCGCATTCGGAGGCCGCCCGACTTCTACGTACCGGCTGCCTTCACCACGGCGTACGACGAGGTCGACGACGAACAGGCGTACGACGACGCCGAGGATGATGAGGAGCTGCCGGAGCTCGACCCCGACATGCACGCCGACCCCGAACACCGTTAGGACATTTCCATGATGACAGTAAAGGAGGCGTTGGCAAGCTGGAAGGGCAAGGCGGTGAAGGCCGCCATGGAAGAGGAGATCCGCAGCCTCATCGGCATGGGGACATGGGAGCTGGTCGAACGTCCGCCGGGAGTAAACATCATGAAGAACTGGTGGGTGTTGACGACGAAGTACCACATCGACGACACCGTCGAGCGCGAGAAGGCAAGGCTGGTCGTGAAGGGCTTCACGCAGGTGTATGGCGCCAACTACGACGGGACGTACGCGCCGGTGAGCAGCTACGTCACACTGA